ATTTGATAGCACATATCATCATTCAATGATTAGTTAGATTCTTATTTATTTTAACTTATCTTTGGTTTAGTTAAAAATATTTTGATACTTAATCTAATCTATCGTTTTTATGCTTTTAATATACTGTAACAATTTACAAAGGTTTATTTAGGATTAATATTTTAGTCTAACCAAAAATTGATTTTCAGATATCGACATATAATTTTATGGATTATGGAGAAAATCATGAAAATTAAAAATATTAGATTAGTATTAAGAATGGATAGAATAGAAATAACGAATCTGATTAACTTTATAAATATTGTTTTATACTAAAATATTTTAATAAATCCCTCAATATTTATATTTATTATTGAAATTAATGCCTTAATTATATTCGACACTTTTAACAATAGGTTAAGAAAAATGGAAAGATAATTGTTGGGCTGTTTCAATTGATAAAAATAATTTAATAATTGCTTTAGGAAGTTACCATATTATTAATTTATTCTAATTTAAAAATTAAACATTAAAGGATACTTAAACACTTTTAGGACATCATGATGATATTACAACACTTGTTTTTTTGAATAAAAAGTCATAATTAATATCAGGTTCAAAAGATATGTAAATTATCATTTGGTCATTAAATTTATTAAGTGAACCAAAGAAAATCTAATTACTTAAAGGACACAATAATTAAATTAATTGTTTAATCATAAATAAAAAAGAAGATATCATAATTTCTGGTTGCAGCTAAATAATATTTTGGAGTTAATTATTGAATTAATAATAATGGGTTTGTTAATAATAATATGAATCAGAAAAATCTATTTTTGGGATATCTATAAATGATAATGAAGATTAAATAATAGCCTGTGGTGAAGATTAAATTATATTAGTTATGAAATATGAATCCTCTAATTCTTGGTCAATAATATAGAAAATTTAAGTAGAAGAATGGGGATATAGATTATGTTTTGTGGGAAATAATTTATTTATATTTTAACCTATCATTGAATGTGATTTTGTTTGTTTAGGTGCGAAAACATTGCATATTTATTCTTTTAATTTCTTACAAAATAAATACTTAAAATCAGGAGAAATTGAAGTTAAAGGAGATTGTCAATCCTGTTTTCAGTACTTTCCTACTATTTATAATTGTAAAAGAGAAATGCTGATTCATAAAAATGGGTGTCACTTAAATTTCATTAGAGTTTAATAGAACACTATCACATCAAAGGCAGAAATGATATAATACTAATTTGAATTAGTAGAAATTATTAATTTTGGGAATTCTGATGGCTTTGGAAACTTAATCGGAACTTTAAGTAATGATGGAGAAAATTTAATTATTTGGGATAATAATTAAAAGAAATTATAAGTAATTAGATTATTATAGAATGATATCTGATAGTATTGCTATTTTTAAGATATAAGAATAAATAATTATAACTATTTATTTAATCAAATTTGATTTATCTGAATTTTTCAAAAATCAAAAGTTATTTTATTAAAATCTATTTTATTTTAATTAGTTCTTATTAATAGAACCCATCAGACCATAAACCTATTAAAATTAAGATAGAATTACCGTAAAAGACTGGATTATACTTTCCATATTTTGATTAAGAAAACATTCTTAAATATATCTAATAGAAAAAAGAAAACAGATTAAAAGTATTTGGGATTTAATAGAATAATGTTGTAATATACCTAAGGAAATAAAAATAGTAAAATTTAAAATACCTAAATATTAAGAATGGGATTTAGATTTCTAAACATAAATAGAAGACAAAGATGCTATAATGCAATAGAATATTTTAAACTCATAGACATACAGCAAAAGTAGAAAGAATAATATAAGGATAGATTGCTAATGCCATCAATAAAAATGGATAAATAGAAACAGGTTACAAATAATAATTAATCACTTAGTATTAAATGAACTTACAGAATATAAGGTGAACTCATTGAACATAAAAAATATACCAGAAACTGGAATAGATTATTAAGTATAAAAGAAAAAAAAATAGAATAGTAAAATAAAATACATGGATATGTAAAAGGACAACTTTTAGGAGATAAATATAAAACATATAAAAAAGCTGTATTATTTGATTGAATCAGATTAACATATATTATACCTTTATGGATAGAACATAAAAGAGAATAAGAAAATGTATAAGACAAAGATAGATTGATTTATTGATATATAAAGATAAATGAATACAAGATATACATTAGAAATGAGATTAATACAAGTAAGCAAAGTTCATACTTTGATACCAAATCAAAACTAAATTAGGGCTATTAGTGTATAATCACATGTAATTAAATTAATAGAAATGTTTTACACAGAAATCTTTAAAGGAATTAAATATGATACCAGGATTAGGATCTTAAATAAATATATGATATATAATTGAATTTGCCAGAAAGAGAGCACCAAATAAATAAATGATATTTATAGAGCTATCAAATGCTTATAATTCAGTAGATAGAGAAAAATTATATGAAATAATAATATAAAGAAAATGGATGAATAAAGAAGCAGCAGATTTCCTGATAACCTTAACCTTGTATAATGAAATGTATTTTTGGGATTCCATAAAAAAGATTAAAATATTTCTAAAGAATGAAGTACACCAAGATTCATTAATTGCTCCAATGTTATTTAATTTATATTTTAATGAGTTATTAAATGAATGGAGAACAAAAATTCTTATCTTGGCTCTAAAACTTAATAAGTAAAATAAAAAGAAAATTCAAAAGTAAATTTTATAAACAAAAACATTAACATATGCAGATGATATAGTTATATTAACTAATGGAGGATCATCAAGTTATTTTATTGATATATTACAATCTACACTAAAAAATTCAATTTGAAAATGAATATAAATAAATAAATGTTCATATATGGCAAACAAAAAAGATTTAGAAATTGAACAAATAGGATGTTAAAAAGAAGATGCATACAAATACTTAGGTATATGGCTCAATAATAGAGGTTCAGTTATAAAATATTACATAAAAACTAATGGACACATTTTAAAAATCTGCTGGAGATTAAGAATATTGGATAAATTATTACCATTTAGACATATAATGAAATTGTGTAGTGTTTTTGTTAAACCATATTTTGACTTTAAATATCCTATACTATGAATGAAAAGTAAATCAATAATTTAAAAATATGATCTTTTATGGAGAAAATCATTAAGAATTATATGCAATGTACATAGAAATTATAATGTCGATATGATGGAAGAAGTGTTTGGATAATTACCATTTTATGGAAATTAAGGAGATTAGTTATAGAGATAATGGGATTTTATGTTAAAAAGAATTAGGTGAAAAATTTTCAAAAACAAGTGAGACTAGATTGAAGAACTAGATGAAATAAATGAATGGGTTAATTCAGATAAATAATTTAAAAAAATATTGCAAAAAATAAAAATGATGAAATGAATTATCTGTCAAATAATTAAGATTACTTATCAAAAATTATGGGATATTTTAAAAAAAAGAAGAGTAGAAAACTGATTATGATTATTATCTCTATAAAACATTAATTGTAATTAATATCTAAAATTAATGTGTATTATAAAAATTAAAAAACTTATTAATTATTATTGTTCAATCAGATGTAATAAGAAATATCTAAAAGTTCCCAATTTATTTTTGTTATTTTTTTTAATTTGAGCAGAATTAAAAAAAAAATTTATTATATATCATCTAATATATCTATTTTTGCTCCTATTTCAATAAATGTTACTGGTATATCAAACTATTATCTCACCTTATTTTAGAGATAAGGCGATATCATTTCTTGTCAGTTTAAGCTTTTTTTGGAATTTCGATGTAATTTCTTCGCACAAATATCAAACTTTAAAATATTCTTAAAAGTAAATTTAAGAAGATCATCAAGTGTAATTTAATATTAAAAAATAGATACCATAACTATAAATTTTTCTAAGCTAATTTCACTTTTTCAAAATCGGTTATTTGTTTTTTAATATAATTATTATGTTAAATATGTGTATTATAATAAAATTAATTCTTTTTTTTAGGATATATTTTTCAGGATTCTTAAGATTTAATAAATAAAATCCTTAAACTATTTTAAATTAGATTAAATTAAGCTAAGAAAAAATGTAAAATAATTCTAAAAAAATATAATTATTGCTGAGATTCTAAATTCAATTTAAAGTAATAACTATATATGTAACCTGTTCTTTATTATAATGCTTTTTCTCAAATCATTAGTATGACTCATTCTCTGTAATATCTAAGTTTGATGTAAAAAGACCGTTTATTATTAAATAATTTTTCTAATCAGATATGAAATTGAATTTAATTATTGGCTTTCTAAATTAAATTAAGATTCTAGTATATCATAAGATATTATAAATTATATCAATAATCATTATATCATATATTTGTACAATGTTTATTCTAAAAAAATCTAATACTAAAACTCTTACAAATACAGAATACTAATCCTTGAATTTAAGAAAATAAAAATTTAAATTATATTTGGTAATTATCAAAGCATGAGAATTATTAAAGTTTAGGGAAAAACAATTTGTTATTGAATAAGTTAGTTTTTCTTATTTAAACAAATTCATTAATTTAATAAAATATATGAAGAATTTAGATCTAGCATTAAAATAAAAATAATTATAAATCTCTATTTATTTCATTAGAATTATCTCAATCTAAAATTTTGAAATATCTCATTTTTGCATGTCCTATATCAATCAAATAATTTTCAGTAATTATAACTTCATCATGATATTATCTTTAATATTTCCCTAATTCTAAATCTGGCTTAATAATTATCCCAGTTAATAAATTTGTTCTTTCTAATTTATCACCATCCTTATTATTTTTTTAAGAAAAATTGTATTTGTAAACAGATTTATTTTTTTTAAATATTATAGCATCATAACTACAAATAGATTTCCTTATCAGTTTTTTATTGATAAGATTTTTAACAAAAATCCATTTTTTATATTAGACTTTTTCCACCAATATAAATTTTGATTAGATCCAATTTTCATATTCCTCTTCAGAATACTTTTTAACATTTTTCTAAAGAATTTTATTATTAGATAACCAAATCAAATAATTTTTTATTTGAGTTTAAATAAAAGCACAATCTGAAAAAACTTTTTCAAAATAAATTATTTTTTCTTATAATATTTCTTATCTAATGTTTAGATCACTTTATAAATTATCAGTTATGGAAAAGACTTTCAATTATTCAATATTATTAAAATTATATTAAATTTGAAAAATATTATTTTCTGAATCTATTGAAATAATTTTGTCGTTATTTTCAATTTTTTTTTACTTAAAAGTTTCCAAATCCACAAGATAATTTCCAGAATCATCATCAATTACAAGATATTTAGAATCAGAAGTAAATAACATGTTTTAATTATCGTAAAATTTCTTTTAATATTTAATCGTTTTAGTTGATGTATCTACAGCAACATGATAAAACCTTTTCTCTTCAAAATCATTTTATTTACTTATATCAAAAGCAATGAATTTTTAATTAGGTGATGAAATGGCATAATCTATTTGCCAATCATAATTTTGAAAATCTTAGTCTTCATCTGAAACTTCATCATCACTGTTTTTTACTTTCGGTTTCTTAGATTATTATATTTTGTTGTTAACTCCAATGATGCTTTCTAAATTAAATTCTTATTAGAAAACTATCTTTATTCTTGACTTCATAATTAAATAAAATTTATAATAATAGCTATTCTTTTTATTCTAATTTCCCAAAAATGGAAAAAGATATTTTCCTCTAAATTATCTCTCATTTACAAAAAAAATTAATGTTTGTTGAGCAATAATTCAAAGAAATTTCTCGAAAAATTTTAAATTCAAATTCTAAATAAATAATATTAAACTTTTTCCAAATGAACTTTAAATTCTATTTTAGAATTAAAAAATTATCTATAATGACAATAGAAATGAAAAAAATTTCATTTAAAATAATAAAATATTTTTAGATTTTAATTATTTTGCATATAATTTTATTACTTATATAGAATTTACTAAAGTTTTTAAAAATTTCTTCAAAAGAAACATTATTTACTAATTCAGTGATTTAAGGAATTGATTTGATAATTTCTATTTTATTTTTGAATTTCAATATAAAATCATTAGATTTCTTCAAAATTTAGCAATAAAATTTATTAAACTTTTAATCTTACTATTATATTCAATCAACAAATTTTGAAAAAAAGATTTTCAAGAATTTTAATATGAAGTATTGCTAAAAAAGCAAATGGCAAATAAAATAATGAAAATTTTCCTAAAGCAAGATTCATATTCTATATATTAAATAAAGAAATTTATGTAAATATAAAAGAGTAATGATAAAAATCCAACTTTTCCAAAGAATTCACTTAAATAACTAATTTAACTAAATGATTTACAATGGTTCATTTAAATTTTAAGGAAAGCAATTTCATTTGAATAGAATGAATTATAAGTAATTTATATGTGCTGATGGTTTTCAAATGATTACATTATACAACTATTACATATTTCATAAATTCACAAATAAATTTCTTCAAAAAATGTACTGAGTTTTCTCTTAAATATAAGTTTTAATTACTAAATGAGTTTTAAGATTAATAAGGTAAAATTGATCATATAAAGGAATCCCTTGATAAAGGACAAAAAAGGTATGATAAATCTAGGTAATCTGATTTTTATAAATCCTTTATTAAATTAGTTTATATGTGTTGTAATTCAAAATTAAATCATTTCTTAATTTATTTCATTTATTCAAGTTGATAAATTATAATAATAAAAATAATAGTTAAAGGTTTAATTCCGAATCATAAGATAAAATTTTCCAATATTTCCATTAATTAGCAGATAATCCCTAATTATTCTTAAATTAGTTTCTTATAATGAAAATATTTCTTTAATAACTCTAATAACTTTTAAATTTGAAATATTGATCGTAAAATCTTAGATAAATTTTATGTAGAATATCATAAGCGTTGGAAAATGTGTTTAGAAAATTTTAATTTTTATTAGTTTTAATATCAAAATTATAAATATGAATTAATAATAGAAAATTATAATACCCTTTTAATATAAACCTATAAAATTGTTTGACGAAAAAATCAAATAAGTTATTATTTAACTTACAATTTTTTAGCTTATCTTTGTTAGTATATTGGGAAAATTAAGTTAAAACAAGATAAAGATTATTTAATAATAAAAATTCAAAATTGTTTTTCCTCTTTTCATATAATTTATATTTTTTCAATAGAGTGTCATCTATTAATTATTTGATCTAATTTTTTTATTGGTTTTTTATAATTTACCAATTTATCTCTAAAATTTAAAGTAATTCTATAACAACCTTAAAATTTTTAGAATATAATAGTATATTATTTTATTCTATTAACTTATTTTAAATCTAAGATTAAGTATTTTCTCTCTTTTATTAAAATCAAATTTGAAGCAAAAATGTAAGCTTAAGTTTAAAAATCACAATAATAATAATAAGCCCAAACCTAATATTTTGTATATCAAGATTTGTAAAATATAATTAATTTATTATACTCATTATAAGCAGTCAATAAGTTTTTTAAAGATCAAGGTCAAGATGATCATCCAATGATTAAACTTTCCAGAAATAAGGTTATTTTATAATTAAATTTGTCAAATGCAATTCATTATGATCTTTTATCATAAGAAGAATCTTTAAAAATATTGAAACAAGCTAAAATTGAAGCATTAAGTATTTTGACACAATTGGAACCAGAACTTAAAGAATTTGAAAATTTCATAAAAATTTATAAAGAAAATTGCTTTAGTAGTAAAATTGTTTTGAATCCATAAAATTTAGAGAAAACAGAATTAGAAGCTAATTTTAATCAAAATGTTCTATCTAAAATTTTATCATCAATATAATCAGTTGATTAGGAAATAAAAGCATTATAATAATCGGATTATAAAGTACCTGATGCTAAAGAAGTTAAGAAAAAAGCAAAGTATTTTTTAAATATTATTTTAGTGAATATAAGAAATTGACAATATAAAGTTTATAAAACAATTTTTAAAATGATTAAAACAAACTTTAGTAGCAATATCTAAATCAAAATAATAATAATAAAAATCAAAAAGGAGATCAAGAAAATTTATTTTATATTTTCATTGAATAAATAGAAAAAAAGGACATATTTAAATAAAATTAAGTAGAGCTTTATGAAAATTTAATAATTTTATTAAAGAATTAGAATTTGTTATAAAAATGCGATTAATTTGATGAAGCTGAAATAAAATTTACATTAGATTTGTATAATAAAAATAAAATGAGAGAAAATCATGAAGTATATTATAAATACTTCTTATTTGAAAAATTTATGTAGTTTAGTTAGCAAAAGGTTTTCAATAATAATGAAAAAATAAATATTGAAGAATTTACAAAATATTAATAAGAAAAATACTAAAAAGAAATATATAGTTAAAAGAAGAGCTAGATAATAAAAAAATCACACATTATTTTTTTAAAGTATCTTAATAACAAAAAAGAATTAAAATCAAGAATAAATTATTAAGATTATATTGATTATATTAACTATTTGTAGAAAGAAATAAAGGGGAACCGATAAAAAGGAGGGATTAATTCATAAATTAAAAATATTGTTAATCTAATAAAATTGTTTTATTTAACATTAAGTTTACAAGTCAAACAAATATTCACAAAATGGCAAATAAAGTTGTTTTCAAAATCTTATTTTGAATATAAATGAAAATTGTTTTTATATTTAATCATATAATTTTTTTATTTTAAATCTTATCATTTAATTATTTTTAAAAAAATATAAAATGATATTAATAAAGGATTAAATATCAGGATTAATTTTATAGAATATAATTTTTAAGAATTATAAGATATAACTAAATATATAAAGAATAAATGAATGAAACTTCTATTAGTAAATAGTTTAAAATAGAGGGACTAAATAGAATAATATTATGATTTATTTATTAATTTGAATAAATATATATAAATTTCATTCCATAAGTAATTTATAATTGTAAAGGTCACAAATTTACAAATAATTATCTTCTCTACTATAAACTACACGATAACCTTTATTAAAGTAATAAATAGAATAATCTTATGGAAGAGAAATGAAAGAATCAATTGGATCGTAAATAGGAGTATCTTATAGATTTAAATTTTGATCTGAAGCAAGTGGGATTTTAACATTATATACACTTAAAATGCTTTACTTTTATGAATTTCGTCTAAGGATTCCTTACAAATTACCAAGTTTAATAGGTTAACCGAAAGACCACCAATTATTGGAACTATAATAGAAATTATCAACTATATTAGTATTCAAAGTTGAGATATATGTTGCTTTTATTTATACATTTAATTATCCATTATAAAATAAATTAAATGTAATTTATGATGTATTGTATGTAGTAGAATGAATTAGAGCTGATTGATAATATTTTGTAATATTGAAATAGGCCTTTAAATTGATTATTCCAGTTCTAAATGGTGTTAAAATATTATTATTGCTAAGAGCATCTAACCAAAAAGCTCCAAGATCATATTCAACTACAATCAATTTATAAAATAATTCATTATCTTCTATAAATGGTTCATATGTTATATCAGTAATATTAATTTCAGTTGTTCTTCCAAAATATTTCTTATCCAATACATATTGAGTTATTTTTATACCCCAATCTTAAGCTGAAATTACCAAAGAAAATAAAGTAACTTTTGTTTTCTGAATAATGAATAATGTATTTTAGATTCCTGTCACTTTCAAAATTGTTTCATTAAAATTAGGGAAATACTCTATATCCCCAAATTATGAGAAATGAGTATCATTAATACTTTTATAAGCAATTAAATAAGGTGCTTCTTCATTTTTTTGACATCCAACAAAAAATATATCTGATATAGGTTTGAATATCCATTCACATTTATGAGTTACACTTTTTGGAATTTAAACAGAGCTTAATACATTAAGTTCATTGTCTATTATAATTACTCTATTATCTGCCAATATAGCATCTGTACTATTTGATAATTTTACATTAGAAATCAATTTTCCATAAAAACTAATGTTAAATTCCATCTATTCATCACAAAATGCAAAACTTTCCTATTATCTTATGCATCTAACCGCTATTAATATGAAGAAAAAAAGGTATATCATAAATAATGATAATTATTTTTTTGAGATTTTAAATAAGACGTAATTCTATTAAATTATCAAAAAACAAATAGTAGAAACAATTTATAGAATAAAATAATAAAATAAAAACTATTATGATTATTATAAAAACTTATATGAATTCATAAATTTATAGTATGTGATGCTAACAATTGAACATCGTTTAATTACATTCTCAATTAGATATAGTTATTGAAAATAAATATATGAGAAGTAATTAGAAGATTTTCAAAGATTATTTTACATTAAAAATAAACTTAATTTGAGGGTTCAATAATATAAAAGTCAAAGATACTTTATATTTTTTAAAATTACTATGATAAAATGATGAGAAGAATTATCATTTTCTTTTAAGTATAAAATAACAGTTGAGCTATAACAATTTTAAGAATTGTTAGATACTTAATATTATTTCACTACATTTTTATGAATAATGTAATCTCTTATTTTAGTAATTAATTAAATAAGTAATTTGATTTTTATATAAACTTTAAATAAATTTCAAATTAACTTTTTTTTTCTATCATTTAGTTTTCTCTACTAGATATATCGCTCATCTAATAAAATAGATAACGTAATGAATAAAAAATGATTAATATGAAAATTTTTAATCCATCTTGCAATATCTTTTATCAGTAAAAAAAGTATAAAAATTAGCTATTTAATTTTTACTATATATATATTCACCTTAAATGAATATAAAATAATTAATAAAGTTTTATGTAATTAAATTTATTTATCTAGAAATGTAATTTCTGTACATAAAGAAAATTATATTATAAATGATTTTAATAAAAATATTATAATTTCTAATTAATAAATTTCAAATTTTTTCAGGTTAAAAACAATAACTTTAAAATTGTCGAATTTGTAATAATTTGTTACCATAATCCCATGAAATGAATTATTATCCATTTTTACTCATCACTCCTAATATATTATAATTACTAAATGATGTTTTTTGATACAATTATAATTATAAATTGTCTTAAATAACAACAAAATACACACTATATCTAACTTTAACAACAAAAATATTTTTGTTTTCATTATAAAAGAACGGAAATTCAATTTAGCAAAAACGATCATCCTCATTAAAGTTTATTTTTGTTTTAAATTAAAATATACCATTACAATCCAATTAAAATATAATAATCTACGATTTATCAATAGGTTAGAAAGCTATGAGATCATCATTACGAAAAAATAAAGAATATCCATAATTAGTTACATAAATTTCAGACTAAACCTCCCAAATTGTTTAAGTATTTTTGATTTATTATTAAATAATAATTATTTTGTTATTATTTAAACAAGTAACTAATTTTTATTAGGATGGACTCAAATTTAGACCTAAAATGTAATAATTACCAAAATTTAATATTTAAAAATTTGACCATTATAAATTAGTCAATTTCCAAAAAGAAACTTGATTCTCTCCACCTATTACAATTTAATCTTCATTCTTATTAATAGTAACAAATTACTATTCCATCTTCCCATTCAAAATTTAAGTACATATATATTTATTAGAATCCATATTCCATTTCCAAATTCTTAAAGATTTATCCTAACTTCCTGATACAAATGAATTACATTTTTCCATAAATTATAAACATTAAATTAAACCTATATGATCATCTAATTACTATATAAATTACAAAGTTTAATTATTTAAAGAAAAAACTTTGATTTATCTATTAACACCTACTACTAATAGAGATTAATCTATATTAAATGCAAGAGCTTAAAAATAATCGTCGATGTGGGTTAAGAAACGATTTATTAATTTGTATTCCCATTAAAGCTGTTAATATTTAGCTATTTAAATTTAATTAATTGAGAAATCTATAAATGATATATATTATCCTGTCGAATTACTTACAGTAAGCCAACCACATTTATTTGTTGGATTGAATTCATCATTATAATTTAAATATAATAATTATATATATTATTCATAAATTCAATTTATTTATACTAATTATTTAATTAATTAATATCCGAAAAAAAAAGGGTCTAATGAAATAATTTAAATATATATCAAACTTTCCTGTCTTTAAAAATTGATTTAAGTCATTCAATAAATTGAAAATAAATTTTTGATCCATAAATTCTCTAAATCATTGCTTATTAATAAAAAATAATAAGATGATTATTTAATTATAATAATATTTAAGAAAATCGCATAAAAATTATTTAAGTTCTTTGAATAATTATTTTAAATATTTATATTAAAAATAATATTTTAATTTGTAAAATATTATTTTTTAGTTATGTTTAAATTTAATATTAATTACATTATCATATATTTGATTGTATTTTTAGCCTTGTGTATTTGTGTATTTAGGAATTCTATAAGTGGAATAAACACTTAATAAAAATTAATTTTAAAATTTCTTTCTGATATAACCTCTCATTTTTACATAAAAAATTTTGAATATTAAAATAAATGAAATACAACATTAAAATAATCATAAATAATAAAATAAATATGTTACACTTAGAATTATGTTTTTTTTATCTAAATTGAATAAGAAAAAATAGCTATTTGAATACAAATTCTACAGGAATTAGTTTTGTTGATGTTTATATACAAAAACAATAAAATATTAAAAGTAAGCTTTTATTTATAAAAATATAATTCAATCAAGCTAAAGAGAGATTTTTGTTAATTTTAAATATTAGCAATAGTTTGGATCTCAAATTTATTGTTAAACAAAATCAAAAAAATTGAATTTTAAGGAAATCTGAAAATAAATGTATATTTGAACAGAATCAGTTTATTGCATTACCAAAAAATGTTCATGAAATATTATTTATATTCTAATATATCTCAAATAAACCATTAAATTGATAATATATTTTTTAACATTAGACATCAGTATAAATGTTAGATTAAATGTATTCCTGATTATTTGTAATATGCAAATTTTGAAGCATTTATCATCTAAAAATATATATTTAAGCTATTCTTTCATTTATTAGAGAATTGAAGATTAGAAACAAAATATAATAGTTTGTTGATATTTTGTTAAATAAATATTTTACTCTTCAAAAACGAGATCAAACTTAAAATTATGATGAAATAAAGAACGGTCTTTGAAAAATATTAAGGTAAAAATAATTTCAATAATTGAATAAGAAGACTTTAAGATTTTAATAAGTTCAATCTCATTCAACTTTTTTTTGATTGCCTTCTTCTAATAATACTACCATTATAAAAATGATAATCATGCAGGTTATAACGAAGTGAAGTAGCTCACTTTATTTTTATTATATAAACTTTTCATGTAATTACTAAGTTATTGTTAGCATTTTCTTGGGCGTCCTTTATTTAGCATAATTATTATTTTTTTTCTCACAAAAACATTTTCTTGTTTCTTTCTTCTGATTATATATTCATATTCATACTTATTATAATAAAAAATCTTTTATTCTCAATTAAATAGAGGGATGCACTATTTTTTATCGATTTTATCTTTCATATAATGGTGATTAATCTTATCTGAATCTCTTAATATTTAAATTATTCATTGCCAAATTGAAAATTTAATATTGTATAAAAAATCATTAACTAAACATTTATAAACTAATAACTTGAATTCTAAGAATTTCTTAGAATTTCATTAATATTTTTAATAAAGAACGTATTTAATTGTAGTGTATTTTCTATAATTTTCAGTATATTTATTAATTTGTTTCAATCAATTTTATAATACTTCAAATACATATTAAATATACTAAGAGAATATATTTATTTTTTGAGATTATCAAATTTTTGTCATCCTAATTTTTCATTTATTTTCATCTTTATTATCTTATAGAGAGATTTTTTGTTCGCAAAACAGCCTTAAAAAATTTGTTATTTATAAAAATAAATATAGATCAAATTTTTCAAATAATAATCTGAGGGATAAGTTAACTCAACTTCACAGCAACTTTAACATGAATAATATCAAATGAAACTTATACATTGTATATAATCTCAAAATATTTCATAAATGGAATTAATGATAATAAAATGATTAAATTTTGTAAATATATATTCATTTTTGAATACATTAACTATTTCTTTTTAGTTTAATTTATTGATAATTAATTCATATAATAATTTATCTCTATATTGAAGATTATATACGTCCATTAGAAACAAAAATTGTATCAAATTATTATTTATATGATCAGTTTCTATTTTGGATTTACTTTTTTGTATTTTTCGTTATTTTCTAAACTAATTGTCTAGAATTTGAAGAATAATATATATATATAATTTAGGCCATTAATAAATTAATTATATATTATAATAATTTTATAGATAAATTAAATTTTTAATAATAAGGGAAGATTTTTTACAAAAATATGTATGAATATGAATATTAATAAATTGATATTTACTTAATGGTAATAAATTTGAATATATAAATTTAATGAAATCTAATAGGGAGTCTAAATCAATTAATATCTTATCTAAGTTTTAAAAGATGTTAGTCATTATTTAATTATCTATATCTAGGTAAGGAATCAGAAGAAAACAGTGATGATAAAGATCTAAATTAATGATTGATTTTACCTTTATTATTCTAATTGTAATTTTGATACATATATTAGATGTTGTCTTAATTTATAAAAATTAGATTTAAGTCGTTATTCTTTTTAATTCCAAACTAAAAATTGATTCCTTAAATAGATATCAATCCATGAGGTACATTTAAAGATTTTAACTATCTTAGATAAAAGGATTAAGATTTATTTTTTATACTTCTTGTGATATAATTTAACTAGATTTTTGATAAAAGGGTAACTCAATTTGATACTTAGACAAACTAAAATCAATTAAAGAATAAAGGATAATATATAATTATCTTATTATTCAGATATGTATTTAATAACAGCTAAAAATACTGAGATAGAACAGATTTAACCTGTTTTAACATCTAATTTATTAAAATTCTGTATAATAAATGGTTATTGTTCCTGTGCATATAATTAATAAAAAAGTAAACATAAACCTAATAGGGAAGCCTTCAAAAATATATTTGTTTCAAAATAGGTCAAAATAATGATGACAAAAGTTTTTTAAGCTAATTTAACCCATTCCCAAAAAAAGTTTTAATTGTTATATTCATTAAACAAATAGCAAAAATGTTTTCTAAATTTAATAGATTCTATTTGATGTCTTTTAACATACAATAATAATAAAAGGGAAAATGGTAATAACCATCCAATTAAACATAAACCTGGAATAATAAAGGTGACAATCCAACTAAAATGATTCGATGTACCAAATCTAAGTGATACATCACCTTGAATATAATCTAAATTTGATATTTATCTTTTAGCTAATAATGAAAAAAATCTAATATAAAATAAACATATTAATACTGTTTAATTAAAGTTGCATAATTGGAAACATACAAATAAAGTGCAGTAATTGATATGATACTAGCATCAAACTGTTTTTTAGAGATAAATGCTAGAAGCTTAAATCCTAAATAGATTAAAATAAGTAAACAAAGCATCAATAGAAACATAGTAATAATTCTAAGATAGATTAATTCTACATCATTTATTTATGATAAATAACAATCTAAATTGTTAGCCATGAAATAAGATGGATTACTAGTTTAATCAATAAAACTAAATGAGAATGTAAAATTAATATTAAAAGAGAATATGGATGAAAATATCCATAAGTAATTTAAAAATAATTTAATTAATATACTTCCATGATCTAAGTAACATTAAATGATTACCTTAATTAAGTTTAAAAATGATATTAGAAAATTTTTATCTTAGTTTACAGAATGTAAATAATTAATTTGATTTATCAATACTACTTAAAGTAAGTAGTGTTGAAATAAGTGACCTAAATTTAGTAAATATAATATAAAATACCAAAATGAGGCAATAATAAATAATAGAATACTATTTGTTAATTCTTTGCATAGATGACATTATAAATTATATTAATTTTTAAAATAATATCCATCTCCTCTTATATTATATTTATCACACTCTTCACATAAACCTCCAACAGATCCTAAATAACATAATTAATCTCCTACAAACCATCCTCCTTTACATATATTAGGATACTTAAAACAATGTTCAACGTCATCTGAGTATTGATTTGGTCTCCAATAACCAACTTTTAGATATATTTAATTTGATGTAATATTTTCAAATTTATTTTTATCAAAAATTGAACATTTAGTTGAATTATATGTTACAGAATAATATCCTTAATTCTATGAACATTATTAACAACTATTTTAAATATAAAATTCTCCAAGTTAACATTTTAAAACAGCTACTTCTAAACTATAATATAATTCTTAATATGAATTATTAGTATCACAAGTTATAAAAATTTATTTTTTATTTTTGCCTTCCATATATGGATCAAATGAAAATTATAATTCAGATAAATCAAAATTACCAGATATTATTTTAAATTATATTATTTATGGTATCTTAGATAATTCAAGTTTGTCATTTTAATATATTTACTCTTCTACTTTACATGTCGAATTAATAAAACTAATTAGTTTTTCATTTAAACTATTCTTAAAAGAAATTGAAAGTTCTTCTATATAATTCTAGAATGATTGATCATTTGGATTAAAAAGAAGATAATTCTTTATTACTTAATTACTAGGTATTACTAATACCTTAGTTTAAATAACATTTCCTTATTCCATTATTTTATATGGATCTAAGTGCAAAATATTTATCTATTTATTTTCAATTATTTTTTAAATGGATGGCATATCTTATTAATTTATTGATAATATTAAACTATCAGGTAATTCTTATAAATTAAATGGTTGTCTATTTGCTTTATTAAAAGATATAATTGAATTAACAAAATTATTTTAATTTAATTTGCTATTTCCTATAAGATATACTCCACCTGCTTCATTTGCATAGTTTAATTGAATATAACAATCTTTAATAACAAATCCATTGTAATCTAATTCCATATTAAGACCTCCACCTTAAGCAGATGCATAATTTTATATTAATTTTGAATTATCCAATAATAATTTTACATTTTATGTATTAATACCTGTCCCAGATCCTCCTATATTTCCATAAAATAAACAATTCCTTATTTTTATAACTTATTCTGATTTCTAATTAGATTTTACTAATATACATCCATATGAATTCACTTTATTCCATAAACATTAAAATTCGATTAATTAAAAAGATTAAAAACTAGATAAATCAAAATAAAGAATTGCATTCAAAAATGTTTCACTTTTTACATTAGTGACTGAAATTTAAGTTAAAAATATTTTATTTAGATTAGATTAACTTTGAAAATATATTATAGCTCCTTATTAATTTGAATCTTATGTTAATTATTCAAAAAATATATCAAATCTAATATTATCTAATTTTATAGTTTAGATCTTAATTTCTTTAATAATGTTACAATTTTAATTTTAAAATTCTATTTTATTATAAATATTTTATAAATTTGATAATTCTTCAACATCAAATTAACTTATATTTGAAAAAATCATATTTTATATCTTCACTCTATATTAATTTTAAGAACTATGACCAACATGAATTATATTTGCTTTCAATATCATTTGAATTTATTAAATACAGACTTTTTCTATTTCAATTTTGAATGCATCAGTTATTTTCAAAAATGATGATAGCAAAACACCTTCATACATGATTTCTTTAATAGATATCATACATCCTTACAAAAATATAATACCATTATCATTTAACACTTTTTAAATATCAATTGATGCTAAAGAATTAAATTTCTAAAGATATTAAAGAAAATTATTTTTATTTAAAATAATTTTAATACCCTCAATTACAACTTTATTGTTCTTAATATTCATTAACGAAAATTAAGATTTCATTAAAATATTAGTTAGAGAAAAACAATTAAAAACTATAACATTTCTAATCGTGATTTGATTTGTATTTTGAGATGGAATGATATACAATATTGGCGATGCAAACTTATTTAAAATATCATCAAATCTAATATTTGTTAATTCAAGTTATAATAAACTGTTTAATGAAGAGATAGTTATACATCCATCATTATCAGAATTTTATAAATCAAAACTTTCAATAGAAATAAACTCTAAATCTTATAGTTTAATTACTCCTTTTCCTTATGTATAAATATTTAGTAAAATACCATTTAAAGAAAGTATTTAACTTAATTTGCCATAAATCATTTAACAATATTCAACAGTTAAAGATAATACTCCACCTTTATTTTGAATCTTTAGAATCCGTGATAAAAGTTAATTTCTTTGATCTTAAGTTAAATTATGTTTAAATTCAAATTCAAAAAGGGATTATAATCTTATCATATTTAATAGATTATGATTAAACATTTAAAAATTAGAAATATTAAGAATTTTACTATTTATTAAAATAAAAGAACTTGTAGAATTTGTTAATAAATTTGATTAACAAAATAGATTAGATATCATTACAGAACTCTATTAGGATTTTATAAATATTAGACTTGCTGTATTTTAAGATGAATCATCAATATAAGAATGAAATAAATTATCTTCAAATTAGACATTATTCATTTTTATTAATTAATTTTTTTCAGAATAAATAGTTATTAATGAAAATATGTTTCTTAAATTAATTTTCAACAAAATATTTCCAAAAAATCTTAAATCTTAAATTATTATGATTTCTTAATCTTTCATTGTTTTGAGTACATTTGAAAATATTTGAATAAAAGATGAATCGATACTATTATAATACTAAATTGTGATTTTTTTTAATTCTATTAAATTAAATCCTTAAATATAGAATAGTTAAGAATTTAAATTGAAAGTATCTACACAATCTAAGGATAATGGGATTTAAAGTTTTTTGGAATTTAAAAAAAGAGCATTCTCAACCCAAATATTTGAAATAGTGATAAAATTAAAGTAATTAAAATAATCTGAATTATAAATTGACAAATTTAATATACTTAAATTGTGACTATTGATATCAAAGAGATAAGTAGATGAATTTTATATTAAAGTTAATTAATTTTGATTTAGATTAAAGTTGATAAATGATATGCTTAATAGATCATTTTAAACAGAGAAATCTGTTGAAACAATTGATGAGTTGTAATGAGAATTATTTATATAATTTAATTAATCAATAGTAAGATTACTTTTAATTAAAGTTCTTGATAGTTTAAAAATTAATTAGGATTAAATTAATTGATTGTCTTAAATTAATATATCTTCAATAAATAAATTAGTCTTAAATACTAAAATTTAAGAGAAATAAAATTAATTTGAAATTATTTATAATTTAGTAAGAGTAAGTGAGTCAACATTTTTAATAATTGATGATCTCTGAAATAGTGAATTATAGATTATTATAGATTTAAATTAAATTTATGATGTAATTGTAAGATCATATTAAAAATTAGCGATAGTTGAGTTTAAAAAGTAAGAATTATTTATAATAAGTTCTTAAACTGTAATAAGAGGATTATTTTTAAATTTGAATAGAACTGAATTCGTAAATGTACAATTTTCTATAATAAATTTATTGATAAGAATGGAGGATTAATTTCCAAAAGGGATAAATTCAAAAATAGTTGAATCTTAATAATTCAAATATTAAAGTTTAAGATTAGTGAAATCAATAATTTAATAATTATTAGAGATAATTTTAAAAATATTTTAAGAATTTTCTTAATTTATAATTTCTGAATTAGTGATAATTAAATTTTATGGATAACCATTATTATCTAATTTAAATTCAACAGATTTAAAACACAGAAAAGTACAATCTTTAATAATGAGTGAATCAAAATTAATGAATGAAATTTATGTATGAAAGTATGCTGGAGAATGATTTCCTTAAAGTATTAATTCTACAATTTATATAGAGAAAATATTAGATTTAAAAATGTTATTAAGAGGGATTTCAAAGTTATGATATTAACTTCCTAAGCATATATTTTGGAAAGGTAAAATTAATTGAAATTTTTAATACATCATTTCATTTAAGTATCTGAAATTAAAAAGCGTTTCTAGATTGAATTAATCAAAGGCAATATATAATCCCTCACAACTATTTTCAACCTAATTATAGAGTATAAATACTTAATATTGAAAGAATGATTGACATAATTGATTATCACAATATTTGGCAATTTAAATATAAGGATCAACAAATATATGAGGATGAGATATTGGTTTAATACATTTCTAAGTATAAATGAAATATTGAGGATTATTAAGGAAATAAGGATTGATATTCTTAATTATAATAATAAGATATTATACTTATATTTCATCTTAAGTTCTAGGTTAGCAAACTAAACATAATTGTGGACAAGATACACATTTTTCATTATCTTTAACTCTTAGTGGTTACATAAAATAATTTAAATAACATTTAGAACATTAAAATCCTTACTTAAGAGTTTTAGAACAAGTAGCACAATTTGAATCACAATATTTTAAACAATCAGATATAATAAGTTAATATCCTTGAATACATTTAACAGCTAGGGTTGATATATAGAAAAGAGTAGTAGGTTGAGGATATACATACTTATTAGGTAAGAATTACATAAGAAAACTTTATAATAATTACATCCATGAATCAACTTTGGTATAATCTCCTTCAATACAATATTTAGCATTTTATAATCGACATTTATAACAATGACCAGTTGTAATTGAACTTGAATAACCATCTTCACATACTATACATTTAATTATAGATAAAGGTGTTTGGTAACATTATTAACAATTTGTGATATATTTTTGACAATTAATGATCTCAGGCGCAATATTAAAATCATCTATTGCAGAAAGAGTACAAATTTCTTAACCTTATAAATTTATGAAAGATCTTAAACAATCTTTTATTAAAGGTTTTTAATACAAGCATTTATCTTTAACAAAATCAAAAATAAATCCTTCTTCACAAAGTGCACATCCAATTCTATGAAATTCATCTATCTGAAAAATTTCATATTAACTATATAATGTACATTTTCCTAAATCATTACTTTTATATTCAAAACAATATTAACAATTTTCTATTTCACATAGTTTGCATTATTTATTTGATGTAATATAATATGGACTCAAACAGTTGTTTTATTCTATTAATCCCATCTATTATTCATAGCATTATCCATCATTTAAAATAGATGTATCATTACATTTTAAACATATCTATCTATTCTATAAAAAACCACAAATTACACAACTCTTCAAATTACAAGGTTAACATTCGTTTGGATAATTTTAATTTGAACATATTGATGCAGAATTCTTATCACTTAATTTATAATCTTCATAAATTTCATCAATTGTATTTATTTTCCTATTTTAATAATGATGACATGGTTTTATATTCTTTTCATCCAAAACATAATAAACTTTAATCTTATCCTTTATATATTCACTAGGACTACCATTATTATCTAAAAATAGATTTGTTTAACAATATGGATCCTTTATCCAATCTATTGGATTTTATATACATTCAAGACAAGTCATAATATTTTCATTAATTACCGATGGACTAATAATATATTATAATTATATTTATACCATCTTAAACATATCTATCCATTTTCAAAATAACCTTAATTACATTTATTTCCTTACTCTTAACTTATTTATAAATCAAAACTTTGATAATCTTTACAATCATAATCATCAATTGTATCATAAGGACAAACACAAGCTCTATGACTTTATATGTAAATACGTTTTGATATCTCTGAGCATGATAAACAATCTGTATTCGTAGGACCATCACATTCTTCGCAACTATGATGACACTATTATCTGAATATAAATTCATCAGAATTAATACAATTAAATAACTTTTAATTTCTTAAACTTACTTTTAAATAATTCTATGATAACTATTATATATTTCCATATTGTAATTTATATTATACCATATGAAATTACTTTGCTTCATGGGAACTTTCAAATCTATACTATTTCCTATCATCAAAATATTTTATTTATATTTATATGACATCATTCTTTAAAAGTACTGTTATAAAATGCCACAAATTTATTATTGGAATATCAAATAATTCTTCTATCAAAAATGGATTATCAGAAAAATCTAAATTAAAATATGGAAATTTATAATTATATGTCGTGAATTTTAACTAAGAATTTTAGTTGGAAATTTTGTAATAAATTTACATTGCCGATAAATTATCATCCCTTAATTTTGGATTCTCAAAATTACTGGATAGTTTAATAAGCTAATACATAAATTCAGATTAATCCTAAATTACTTATTACACTTTAATCCAAGTTTAAAAAGCAAATGCATCACAATTTTTATTAACAGATGCAAATATTTTCTATTCTAACCAATTTATATCGATGTCAGGAAGATCTGTGATTGAATTTTCTAAACAACGACATGAATCATCAAACATATATTATAAATTGATCATCAATTGTTAATCAACATTACCTATAAAGCCTTTGAAATATGATAATAAAATAATTTGGCCAGGAAAAAATGAAAGCTTATTCTCACTTTCAACTTTTAAAATATCATCAGGCTCTATCACTAAACCACCTCCAAATACAATCAACAAATTTTCATCTAAATAAGGAAATTAGATTTGCAATTATTATATATCTATAATTGTCACTCCTTAAAGCAAATAATAAGTAAATTATTTTTTATGTGGTATTAGATGAACAGCAAAGTAATACCAATAATACTCATATTTCATAGAATCCAATGTTTTCTCAAATTTATATTATTTTCCTTCGTTACTTATAAATTAAACAATTTTTTTCACATTCATTTCTTTTATATTAATGCAATCATAATAAATAAAATTAATCCTTTTATTTTCCTTCTCTTATACTGAATTTAAATGGTAGCAGGAACTATCAAAAATTCCAACAGGACCTGTTTATGATATTGTACTTAAAGGTACATATCTACTCCACATTCCATAAATCATACATTCTTCTATCTCAAAACTATTTATCATTCTATTAAATTATAATGCATAGAATTGTTATTAGTCATTTAAAGTCCAGATAAACAGACAATTTATTACGATAGAATATTCGCATATAATAAGATAAAAATCTATTCTTCCCATCTTAAAAATTATATATTTAATTTAATATTTTTATTAAATGAATTAAAATCAATTTAAAACTCATTTTAACGATATTTTTTCAATTTTAAATCAAAAAATTTTATTGTATTTTATACTCAAAAAGTTCATAAATCCTAATATTTTAATTTTTAAATTTCCTTGAAGACCATTTAAAATAACCAAATGTTGATCAGTATCGTAACTTTAAATAAACTTTTAGTTCATATATCAAATAAATAAGTTATATGTCTTAAACATATTTTTTAAAATTCTTTATTTTAGTTTTAATCACTAACCTTTATTTATATTAATCTGTCTTAATTATATTATCCTAAAAATTATATTTATTGAGAAACTATGAGTTGCTATTTTTTGAACTTTTCCACTATGTAAATTGAATATCTCTTAATTGAATAATTGATATATTCAAAATTTACAAAATTATATTTTTTTTAAGAAATAATGTGCAATCTTTGAATTTATAATACTTTTTTTGGTACTAAAATTTGATCAATCAAGCTAAAAATATAGATACAAAGTAATCATTTGATGGATATACGATGTAAATTGTTTTATTAAATTGAAATTAGGTCTTGTTTGTTAAAATTTGTAAATTTTTTATAATTCTTATTTATTAAAAACTGTTTACTGACAAACATTCAATAAATAAAAGGAAATTAAGTTTATAATTTATCTTAACATTTATATTAGTTTCCAAACAAAGCTTTTTCAATAATTTTCTAAAATTTTTTATTTGAAATCTATATATCATACGAAAATTTTAAGCGTATAATAACTTTAAAAATACTTAAGAGGATTTTCTAATTAATTACAAATTAAATTGGAGGAAAATATTGATTATTATTGTAGTAAATTAATAATTTTAATTGATTTTCAAATTATAATACATTTATCAAAATTCATTTTTCTAAAAATAAAGTCAAATTTCTTCGTCTTTATGAAAAATTTACTTGATTTTTTATTATTTCATTTAAATAATAATTATAATCAAGAATAAAATGATAATATGTTAATTTTATATGATAATAATTTTTTTAATTTTACATAAATGGTAATTCAACTTTCTATTTGGTTGCATTTCTGATATAATTGAACTAAATTTCAAATCCGATTCTTCAAAAAATATAATTATTAATTTTTCAATTAATTCATAAAACTAATTATCTTAAAATCTAAAAAGTACAATTTATTTTTGAAGTTTGCCAAAAAGTCTTCTTTCGCAATAATATCAAATTTAGAGACAATTCTCTGTGTACCCAGAATAATAATTTTATTGTTAATTAGTATTGTTAATGATTTTAATTGTAAGTCAACACAAAAAATTTCTATCGTATGCTATTGCATTTATTTTTTTCTGTTGTTGATATTTTAATAAATTTGAGGATTTAATCTTTTTTTTTTGGACAATCAGTACTTATTTAATTATCCTAGCAATGGAATTATATATTTATCCTCTTAAATCATTAATTCTTCTATAAAGGAAGAGCAAATTAAACTAAGAAATTTTAGAAAGTTCATATCAGCCATTTCTTATAATTCTAAAAATTAATATCATGATGTTTGAAATAAATTTATTGATTTCTTGTAGTTAGTTTAAATTTGATCAATTAATCCTCATATTATTATAATTATTAATAAATTTTCTAGCAATAAGTATTTTCATAACAATTAAAATTTTAAAATATTATTTTAATTGATAATCATATTCTTTTAAACTAATTTTATTTTAAAGATTAAAAAAATCTTAATAATTTTGATTATATTTTTAGAAGTTGGATGAAATAAATGGAACAAAATTTTTTGGCAAATCTGAATTTACACTTTGGAGGATAAAATGATGTAAATGTTACAGTTTTAATATTTGAAAAGAAGCTAATCATTAAATTCTGTTTTAATTATGTAAAAGCTTTAAATAAAAGGTAATTATTACATCTTTCCCTGTTTTGTTTTTACTGAAGATATTATTCTATCTTATCTGTTGATTTCTCTTCTAAAGCAGCTTCTATCATTAAAAATTATGGTTATTTTTTGAGAAATTGAAAGATGAATCTATTTATAAGGTAGAGTTACACATATAATATTTGCAATAATTCTATTTTTTATCAATTCAATCTATTATCAATGAATATTTTGATAATGAGATGAAATAATATATTATATTTATACACGACTTGATTAAAATCTTCCTTATTTATTAGATTTTTATAATATCAATCAAATTTGATGTTTAATGATTGAGATTAATCAAAATCTATTTAACGTTTTTATTCATAATTATATTCAAAACATAATTATTAGAATAATACATATAAATCTTGTTATTTTAATTTTAAAACTTGGATATTAAGTTAATTTTTCTTATTCCATATCATAAGAAAGTAGATAACTATTTTAACCATTAATTAATAAATTATTTATATAATGTCAGTATTTTGATTTCCACAAAGATTACATATAAGAAGATAATTATATCATGTAGTCTAGAAATAGTTATGCCAAGATCTAGATAAATTTTTAAATAGATAATTCTTAATAATAGAATAATTAGTTAGTTAGAGACATAAATCATTTAAATAATGAAAAAAACTATAAGTAATTCTTTATTAAATCAAATAATATTAATAATTTAAGAATATTAAATAATCATAATTTTGAGTGTAATTCCTTCTCATACATATCCTATAGAAGCAATATTTACATATTTAACAACTTAATCGATGTAATTATGCTCAATTATAAATGTTGTATCAGATGAGATAGTTATTTTCAATTTAGAAATCATTGGAGTAGCCGTTTAAAAATAAAATTTTTATTTGCAGATATTAATTCTCGAAGTGCAAATAATTTCATATTAATAATAAGTGGAAGCACAACCATTTGCTTGGATTAATTGCATAGTTAATTTTTTTCCTTATTCACATTTTCTTATAAAGTTTAATGTAAAATCGGTGATTGAATTATCTACATCTAAATTAAAAACTCCTGAAATTGAACTTTGAAAATTAAATTCTGGTATTGATAATTCAAATGAATTTAAGATGGTGGCAATATTATTGTCATAATTTTTAAAAACAAAGAATTTAAGAAGCTAAAAACTTTAATAAAATCCTTCATTCCATTATGGTCTGATAGCTCCATATTAATGATAAACATTTTATAAAACACTTCCAGCCCCTAAAAATTAATTGATATATTAATTATACATAACTCTATATCATAGTTTGTCTAAGTCATCACTACATTATTTCTATTAAGTCTTATTCTAAATGTTGTTCCTTCTGAATAAGAAATCCCTTAAATAACAGATAATAGTTAAGAATCCTACCATCCTGATTCAAAACTAAATGCAGCTACATATGATGGAATAGATGTAGCATAAATAGTTCCTTTAATGTAAAATGCATCTTTTGTACCAAGCAATATCTAATATCCAAGTTGTTATATGGTATTTGAAAATGACATAGTAATTGAACAATCAGTTTTTGTCACTTCCGATACCTAATTTCAATATTAATAATACATATAAATGATAACTAAATGACCCTAGATATTGAAGACTAATCACAGAAGCTATTCCAACAACAAAGTTAGGATTATTATGCTAGAATTTTAGAGTCCCTTAAGTTGGGTTGAATTAATTAAACATTGATATCACTTATCTACGTTTATCATCAATAGCATAGTATCTGAATTCAATACCATTATATGTAGTTGTATAAGGAAGCTAAATTCTTACTGTGAAACCTAAAACAATTAAAATATCAATTACTTGATCTTGTTATACTATCTATGTAGAACTAAAAGCCTTACTCACTTCCAGTATTTAAATCATATACTTAATTTATGATGAATACTTCTGGAATATTTGTAAAACTCGATGAAAAATTAATTGTACTTGAAAACGATCTATTTGGTGTAGAAGATGAATATAAAATGTTGCCTGAACCCCAAACATAAAATGTTGAAACAAATCCAGTTAAAAAAGTAGTCAAACAGTTGGATGGAATCATAAGTATTCCCATGAGAAAAAAAGAACATTTTACCATGTCTATATTATTATTTAATAAAATCCAAAATTATATATTCTTCAATGCCGCTTAAAAAGTCAATTAAAATAGCATATATACTAAAAAAACTTAATCAGTTTATAATATCAATAATCTGCATCAAATCTGAAATTAAAAATAAGACATTTTATTTAAATTAGCTTTGTAAAAAATTAATTTCAAATATTTCCTATTTTAATCTCTTCTAATGTATAAATCTATAGGCTTTTTATTATTTAGTTTTGTATAATAACATTACTGTTATTCTATATTTTTCAATAAAACAATATCATTTTTGTTTATTTATACAAAATAATACAATATTATTTGTCTTTATTTTGATTCTAATTTATCATTATAAATATTTAAAAACATTCATTTACTCATAAAAATATATATATTATTTTTTAAGTTTTTTAAGTATTTTCTTATCTCTTCTTTTGAAAAATAAATTAAAAACAATCAAAATACTTCTATTTTAAATATATACCCTATTTTTTCTATAAAAAAGGAAAGGAATAAAATGATAAACACATTTATTGATTATTTGTTCTAAATTTAATTTTATTGTATATATTTTAAATTATTAATTTAATATTAAATAAATATAGTTTTGTCTTGTTTTTTGAGATTCAAATAACGCAGTGCTTAAAAGTTTTTCAAATGATCTCCAAGTATATAAAAAATTTGTATTTTTAAGAATTAATATTTTGTTTCCATTGAAAATTTTATAATCAAGAATTTATCACTTTAATTATTATTTAGGAATTCTTACTATATTAAATTTTTAATTTTTATATTAACGTTTCTTCTATGAATGATTCAATTCTATATATTTTTGCATGTTTTAGAGAGAAAAGAAATAATTGAGATCTATAATTATAAAATTACTTTTATATAATAAGTATCTATTAATCTTGAAAATTCTAATTTTATGGTTAAAATTTTAATATAATTTAGATTTTGAAAAAATAAAAGACTTTTAATTATTAAAAATTAATAAAATATTTCAATGTTTATAAATCCGAATCTATACTTATTTTGTTCCTTCATCCCAAGTTACTAAATATTATCCATCATTTGTCAATGCTCCTTAAATATACTGATTTTAATATTTAATAGATTATCCATTAACAAATTCTCCATTTTGTTTAAATGAAATTAAATTAATAAAACAACCAGTTTTATTAAGGATTATAGAATTACTTTTGATAAATTGTAAAGGAAAAACACAATCAGATTAATATCCTGATTTAATTCTAACTTCTTTAGTTTTATTAAAAGTATTAGTTATTTTATCAAGCTCATAAATAAATAAGGTTTCAGATCGTGATGGTTAGTAAGAAAATAAAAAATCATTCATAAAACATAAGCCTTAACCCCAATTATCAACTTTAATAGTTTAAATAATAATCCATTCTGAATCATATTAAAGTTTTTCACTAACTAAAATAGTAAAGTCCATATAAGCACAAGAAACTAATTTAGTATTTGATTCATTTAATGATATGCTTTCTACTTTATTTCTATGTCCTAATAATCTTTATTACCAATTCCATTAAAGATCTTTATTCCAGAATTAAATAGTTTAATCATCTCCACATGAAATAATCAAATCTTCATTACTATTTGAAATTATACATCGAATATAATCTGTATGTCTCTATAAGATTTATAAACAAATCCATTCTTTATTTTCATTAATTTACCATATTAAAATAGTTTGATCTTCTCCTCCTGAAACAAATTATTAACAACTTTTTAAAATTTATAAACAACAAACAATACCTTAATGATTTTATAATACTTAGGTTTATTTCATGTATCCATTTTTAAATTAAAAAACTTTAATAGTTCCAAAAGAATATCCAGTCATTACTAAAGATGAATCTTAATTAAATGTAATTGCATATATTTTATCATCCTTAAATGAATTTTTTTTGATAAGTTCATATTTAAATGGTTTAATTGTAACATTGATATTTTTGTTTTCATCTTGTTCTAAGTTTTTAAATGGAATATCTTTTTTAAATGATATTTTTAAATATTTTCCATTTTTTTCTTATATTGGAACGGAACATTAAGTTAATTTTTAATCATTAAATTTCTATTATAGATTCAAAAATAATTCATTTAGTATTTCTTAAATAGATTGTATTTTAGCTTTTTATTCTGATTCTATTTATTCATTCAACTCTTTTAAGAAATTTTATTGACTGAGTATTTCGGCTATATAAATGATTTCTTCTTTTGAATATTAATACCATTCTTTTTTAATTAATGATAACAATCTTTCTAATATTTTACTTTGATTAAGAGTAAGACTCCTTAATGAAATTATTGATTCATCAATCATACAATTAAATTAATCTTTTAATTATATTAACTATTGATGAGCCATTTAAATACTATTATTAACATTTCTATCTTATAGATTTTAAAAATTTGAAATATATGAAATCTATTAATTCCACATTGATTTAAATTAATCAAAATTTGTAAACTATACTAAATATTCAGGAATACAATAGGCACAAGCTATTCTATTAGGAACAACACTTATTTATTTTAAATCAACAAACATCAATTATAATTTGTGTTTTTCACAAATCCAATTATTATTTTTCTGTATTTAATCTATTCCAAATGGTAGAACTTCTTTCAAATTTATTTAATTTTCACATCTTATACTTCTTAACATTTTTTCTTGATATTTTAAAAAATCCTAAAGATCTAGTGTTTTTAACTGTTATTATAAATGAGTTTCTATTTCCACAAAATTTAATGATATTTATCTCAATTATATATAACTTTTTTCAATATAATCTAAATTCTAATTGCTTCCTTCTTTATATTAATCATCTCTTTCAATTTTTATATTTAAAATACGAGTTAGTTGATTATTTATAAATGATATTATTTCATCTATTTTGTTAATCATTTACTATTTCATTTAAATTAGATTTTATTTAAAGTGATTTAAAATTTCTATATTGTTTTCTTTTCTTATCTCACTTTCCTTTAAATATTATAATTTGCAATTCAATATTTATTCTTCAGCCTCTTTTATTATCATCCAATTTCTATCCTAACTCTCTGTATGTTTCTCTAATATTTTTTTATCTATTAAATTTAGTTTCTACAATTGTTAACAGTTCTCAGATTTCCCTATCATTTTCACATTCTCTACTGTCTACTTTATTTTAATCATTATATCTATTCTTTTTAAGGATATTAAAATTAATACTAATACATGATTATGTTATTTAAATTAAAAGAAAGGCATTCTAATTTTTAGTTATCACTAAATTAATTTATTATTAAATATATCAAAATACTTAAAATATGACAATTGAACTTAAATATCCTTTGCTATCAAAATTTTAAATGCATTTTCGTTACCAATAATTTCTATAATGTATTTTAATTTGAAGAAATTTAGCTAATTCCAAAATTAAGATTAAATTGAGAACTTTTTCAAAATATATATATTAACTAATTTAATTTATATTGAATACTTGGATTTACAAATTATCTTACTAATAAATTATTAATAAAAAATAAAATAAGTTAATCTAATATTTACTAAAACATGAAAATTATTTAGTTCCCACCAACATATTTTAACGCAATTGTGTTTTATTCATAAAATTGTTCTTTAAAACTTTAATCTAAGTTACATAAAAGAATTATTTATATTATATTAATTAACTTAATTATAAAAATTTTTCTAAGCTAATCTAGAAAATTACATTTTAATCTTGAAGAATTTAAATACTGGTATAATAAGTTTTCACAATAAAATTAATTGATTTCTTAAAGATAGATATTCATATTGTTCTGAATAATCTTTTATTGAATATAAAATTAAGGAGATTTAGAAAAATGATTAATTAAATATTAAAATTGAATAAATGATGAAAAATCTAGTATTTGTGAAAAAAAAGTAAAATAAGAATTAGATTTGAATTATTTAGGAAAGTTTGTGAAAGTGAGATAAATATATTAGA